ATGGACGAGGGGTGAATGACTTAATATTGATCTAAATAAACATCACAACATTGTTTATGGTCCTTTCAGTCCGAAGCGCTGAACAAAGAAGTCGTCGCCAGCACAGAAACCATGCAGACGTCCAAATCAGAGCTCACAGATCTCAAACGGTTGCTGCAGAGCCTGGAGATCGAGCTGCAGTCACAGCTCAGCATGGTCAGTATCACAGCACACAAAGGTTTTCATAGCTTTCCAGAAAACACACTGAGCCTCCTCCTCTGTGCCTCCTGCAGAAAGCCGGGTTGGAGGGCACGCTGGCTGAGACTCAGAGCCGGTACGCCATGCAGCTGTCTGGTTACCAGAACCAGGTACTCATGCTGGAGGAGCAGCTGTCGCAGCTGAGGGCAGACCTGGAGCGGCAGTCCCACGAGTACCAGAGGCTGCTGGACATCAAGACCAGGCTGGAGATGGAGATCGCCGAGTACAGGAGGCTGCTCGAAGGAGAGGGCACCGGCAGGTCAGAGCCTTTACCTGTAAAAACGTTTAGGACAGACAAATATGAAAAATGCTTTAGTGACAGCAAACAGATGTTTCTGAAATATTTATATTCAGTGATTAAATCCAGACTGTCCTGTTTGTCTCCTACTGCAGCAAAACCACCACCTCCACCACCTCCAAAACCTCCTCCTCCACCTCCTCCACCGCCTCCTCTGGGCCCACCAGCGTCACCACCAAAAAACAAATCGTCATCGTAGAGGAGGTCGTGGACGGGAAGGTGGTGAGCTCCCACAAAGAAGAGGTCACCCTGTGAGTTCCAGCAGAGGGCGCTCTCACAGAAATGAACATGCAAATAAAAATCCGCTGAGGAGTTTCAGAATAAAAATGTGTTTTGTGTCTTTTGTTTGGGCTGAAATTCAAATTAAGTTCAGTTAAATTAATCAGGTCCAGGAAGTGATCAAATATACTGTGTTAGCTGTTGAGTCACAGTAATTTCAGGTCCCTCATCTTCGGAAACTGTCATGTAATTGGACGATTCACTCAAAAGCTGGTTAAAGGTGTGAAGTTGGTGACAGTGTTTCTGTGAAGATGCAAGATGCAGTCAAAGGACAAATGACTGAGATAGAGCAGGAAGATTGCACTCACGCATTTATTACTTCCAGGCTGGACGTTTGTTTCTTCATGATATTGTAACGTGAGGGTTCACCAGATGGTTTGGAATCTCTCTGAATAATTAGGAACAGCAAGATGGAGACGGATAACTTTTTAGCAGCCTCTTTACTTTAGCACACAGCAACAACAACCCACACTTCCTGTGTGCATGAATACTTCACTGTCCTCTCAGAAGCCAGGAAATCTCATACAGATCAAAACAGGGAAAACAACCAGGTAGATATAACACATACTTATTACTGGTTTGAACATGCATGTCTAAACATTCAAACGTGTAAACACGTAACCACCAAATAGCTACATAACTAGCTTTATAACCTTTGTAAACACCTCTTTGTATATCATTTAAATTTACTTCTACACTTTACAATATCATAATTACACAAAGCTACAGACCCACTCTTACCCAATTAGCTAGCAGCTAATGACCCTCACACCTGTGCAGTTAATAAAAGTAATGTTTGTCATGCTGTTGCACACATGTAAGAGGGTCATAAATCACATGTTGTTATAATTACACAAAATGTGTTCTAATACCACAAGCCGTTCCTGTTGTACCTGCCTTTTAGGACCTCCAAGCCTGTAGTTATGTTCATTATCAGTTAGAGCCCCTCCTCATTGTTCTTCTTTGGTGCAACCCTATAAATACAGTGCACCCCTCTGGCCCCTCCCCTTTTCTACAATCCCCCTGTGGGAGCGGTCGGTGTCATTTCTTTCCAACACTGTAAAACACACATATAATGCATATTTAGCCACCCTGATGTTTCTGATTGCAATTTTAGTTCA